TTTATAAGCAACACAATGTGTGTCAGTCACAAATGAATCGACTTCCAGTTTACTGATAAAAGTGTAAAGAGGAACCAGCTGATGAGGAACACGCTGACACTATTTTAATTTAAGTTACTCTGTGGACACATAGAGAGTAAATCTGTGTTTGAAACTCAAGGGCAGAAGGTTTACAGCAGTCTGAGACTGAGTTCTTATAGTCGTGGTGTTGTGATGGTTTGCTGCAGGGTTGTGTGGGTTAGGACTGTTTTGAGTTGTTGTATTCTTGTCAAACACGTACTGGAGCGAGTGCTGTGTTGTTGAGCACTACTGAGTTGTTTAAATCATTAGCTAACATTAAATGTTTCATTAGATCCTTTTTTTTTTTTTTTACGAAACCATTTTGGAAAAACAAAGAGACAGGATTCTGTGACAGTTTGTTGATTTGGTCTGAATTCATCCTCCAAAAATTTGTTCTGTCCCACTAGAGGGCGGCAGTGTGACCATCACACAGGAGAGAGGGTTCCTGACTAACCTGTGTTGTGTGTGTGTGTTGTTGTGTGGTGTTGTCTGGTGGTGTCTGTGTGGTTGTGCTATCTGTGTGGTGTGTGTGTGGATGTGTGTGTATCTGTAGTGTGTGTGTTGTGACTGCACTTTATCATTTTGTACATCTGCTACAAGCCAGAAATGAACTTATTGATCCACCAGCAACTGCGGAAATTAACTTCCAAAGTTCTTTCTGTTGACTTCTTTTTGCAATAGGTAGAACAATGGTTTTCAGGCTGGCTTACTCAGCGGTTGGAGTGGTCTGGGTTTTCTGGCTGTGTAACCATGAGCGCTGTCGGGGTGGGCGGCTCCTTTGATGTGTGTACTTTAGTGGGGTCGAAGTTTCTCGCGAGCTTGTGACTGCAGAGTTCACTGTGATTACACCCCCACTTCTCATAAACTAGTGGGAGCGCTGCTAGGTCATCAACTGTAAGTCGTAATTATACATTTACCACAGGAGCTCAAGTGATGATACCACAGGCAAGTTCTCATGATAGTTTCAGTGACTTACATCATCGCAGGAGATTTGTCCTTGATCCAGTGTCTGTGATGCAGTTTCAAATGTATTTAATTTAATGACAAGTGACTCTGAACGCCTCCTTTAAACAAGTCGAGCCGGATTCAGCGTAGGGTTTTTCCCTGAATTTGGGCTCAGATATGAACTTGTTTTAACTCCTTAAAAGCAAATTACTGGCACAATAGTGAACCGTTGTGTTCCTGAAGAGCAGGAGTGAGGAACAACTCCTTTTTTAAATGTGGTGGCTGGCAGGCGTAAGACAAACTTATGATCCGATGTTATACACGCAATACATCACCTTCTTGCTGCGGGCTGTTTCATTTATTGAGAGACTGTTGGGTGCTCAGCTGTGGGCAGAGTGGGAGGCAGGAAGAGTTGGACTCTGTTCATCAGTGCTGGCAGTCTGTGGGTGTGTTTTATGTTTGTTTTTATACGCAAAGAATTAACCCCAATGAGACACACTGAGTTTGAATGTGTGTGTGTGTTTTCCAGTAATGCACACTTGTTGTACTTTTGCTGATGAAAACAAAACCAGAGACATTAGTAGACATGGACATGCAGAGAGATGCATCCAAACACACAGTTTATAAACCGTTTAAAGTAAATATTAATATAAATTATTACAACTTCTGACAAAGTTACACCATAAATTCACATAAAACATAAAACCAGCTTCAATAATTGAACACTAAATAATTATAGTAGTTATTATAATATTTGTTAACCTGAAGAAAACATCATCAGTGGTCTCTAAATGGAGAATCTTTATGACACCTACTGTTTTATCTACACGCCCACACCCACGGCTGACACAGGCAGTCGAGCACGCTGCTTCCTGCTGCTTATCCCTTCCTGTTTATCGATAGTGACTATCAAGAGTGAAAGGAAAGAGAGAGACAGAGAGAGAGAGACAGAGAGAGAGACAGAGAGAGGATGACACACAGCAAAGGGCCACAGGTCGGAGTCGAACCCAGAGCCGCTGCAGCAACGACTCAGCCGTGGTCATTAAAGGCACCAGGGCTCCTCTAGCTCGACATCCTGCTGCCACAGCCATGTAGAGAGATTTGCTGTAATGGTAACTATCGGTGACGTGGGCTGTGGTGTCTCTACTGGCTGTAACATCTGACCAGAGAGCAGCTGTTTCACTACAGAGCGACATCTACCTGCTGATCCGGTCCCGTAGGTGTTGGCAGCGTGTTTTGGTACCCAACCCTAAACACAATCAGGTCATTGTCCTCGACACAAACACAGTGACTACTTATAAATCTGACACACATACTCATAAATACACGCCCACGCCGACACACACACACACACACACACACACACACACTGTCTCCTGTCTGATGTCTCAGTATTGAGTTAGTATGGATCTCCACTGCTGGCAGTTCAAACCACATTAACACAGGAACATTTAGAGTTCATAATTACATTAGTACCACAATACCCTTCAGTTGTGTGTGTGTGTGTGTGTGTGTGTGTCCCTAACTAATGACCACAGTCTGATGCTGAAGGGGTCTTGAGGACTGAGATACGACATTAGATCAGATATCGATCCTCCCTAATGGTACAGAATAATAAAAAGCCTTTTAATTTACACTGATTAGCCTCCATCCCTCACTCACTACAATCCATGTTAGAAACTCGTTTACAATCAGGATGGACAAATGTAACCAACAAGACATTCAGTTAAAAATCCACTACAAGGTCCTTGTTGTAAAGAAACGTTATTGGCGTACTTTGGGATTTCCTGGTGTATTTTCCCCAACACATAACATTAACTTAGATTATCTGACATTACAGTGATGTATTTAAAGCAGCTGCAAAACAGTGAACATTAAATGAATCATATCACAATCGTAATATCTGTCACAATAATCACAATATGATTGATTACCCGCAGCCCTAGTCACAGTGATATATGGGCTTTTCCTGTCTTTGCATTAGACTGTGGAACTTGTTTATGACACCTCGGTTTCTTTCAGGTTTCTCCTCCACAGTCTTCGTCTCTCTCATCTCTCCGTCCGCAGCTCGCCTGCTATCATCAGCTCAAACACGAGTCACTTGAGCCAGTCCACGACAAAATGTAGAAGCAGTTTTCTTCTCTGACACAAACACTGTGTGAACAGCAGCTGGCAGTGAAGTGAGAGTTATTCAGACTTTCCATTTGTTGTTTGATATGCATGTGGATGGAAATACGTAAATGAATTATTTAAATTGAGTTTTCCATCTCTGAGCCTGAACAATGTTCTCTAATCTTCAAAGGCTTAAATGCTTTGCTCTGCCTTCACACTGTCCTAAGTGCTCTTATAACATAGAAGTAGAAACGCTTTGCACACACTTTGCTTTACACATTCTAGTTAGACAGATTGAATATCTGTACCTGCGAAGCTCTCACATCTCTTTATTAAAGTTTCATTTTGTTTCTGGGAAGGCGCAGATGGCAGCTCTCTCTGGAGTCCACTCTGGTTCGGCCTTCGCTTTTAAGTTCAAACTGTGTAAAAGCTTTACTCTCCTAAACTTGTGGTTTATGGTCATCCTGGTTTAGAGGCTACAGAACGAAGCATTAACGCTGCTGTAGTGAGAGACTTTAATCCTACTGAGCCCTGTACTAAAACCTGTCCGCTTCCTCATCTGTTTGCATAATTAAATCCCACCAAAACATGAGCCTGCTTCATCTGAGTCACTTCGGATGTCTTTCCTCTAAACCTGGAAAGTTCCACTAAAAATAAAGCAACTCTTTAAATGAAAGTAGACTCAAACCATGTCCACTCCCCACTGTCATATGACTGCTGTGAGGTGACGTCTGGTCTGACTGGAGGACAGCAGAGGGAACAGATAATGGGCTCGTCAGTGGTTGACAAACAGTGAGGACCAACACATTTTATTACTCTTTTATTTATTTTTTGGTCCTTTTGGAGTCTAATCAGCTGATCAGGCAGCCTTTCCAAACCTTCCACTACCAGTATGTGATGGTTCAGTAATATTATAATTAATTTCCCAACTGCAATAAAATATTTATGTTCCATATTGCTTCCAGTAAAGAGACTCCTCTCTTTTCCGTTCCCGCATCTTGCACTCTCAACCATCTGCTGTCAAATGTGGAAAAAGGACGAAGGCCTAAATGAGATCTGTCAGACGGATGATTTTATTATATTAAAAAAAAAAGGCAAATGGGCGTGGCATTGGCTCTGCTGGTTTATCAATACATCACAAAGTTTAATCAACCTCTTAACTTTTGAAGCGTCATTCAGCTCCCCGCTCATCTTTTGGTCTGTCAAACAAACAAATGCTGCGAGAAAATATAGAATATTGATTTGGAGGCTAAGAAAAGGTCACGCAAACGTATTTCTGCACCTTCTGTCGCTGCAACTCAATTCACACTTTTTTTCACATCACCAACTGTTTCTGTTTTGTTTTTCGGTTTGCTTCATTAAGTATAGATATTTTTCAGCACTCATTAATAGGCAGGTGTCTCTTAGTTACACAGAGATTGTATTCGGACCAAATGTGGACGATGTGGGTCAGGACACGTTCAGGTATCTAAACAAATTAACTTTATTTAAAATATTAATATAACATTTAAACTAAAATTGGACCAGTGCCATGTAAGGTCAAACAGATCAAGTGTTCCTTATGTTTGTCAGAGTACTCACAAGTCAAAGTACTCAGCTTGGAGTTCTCCGTAATGTCTTAGGCTGAAGTTTAAAGTGAAAAATCATGTTCCAAAACCTCACGTGGTGCATGAGCCCATTTAAATACTACAGTCTAACCATTACTCATGTTGCAGCTGTGTGGTTTTTAGAAGAAGACTGTTTGAGCGGAAGTTGGGTTTAGACTTCTTAAATTGAGTTACATAACAGACGGATTAGCTCAAAGAAAGATTGAAAGGCTCGTTCATGATGAACGGTACCTCGGCTGGAAAGTGGACGAGATCAGGCGGCAGTAGCAAAAAAAAACAAAAAAAACACCCGAAGTCAAGTCGGTTAGTGTTGAGGTTATTTCCAGCAGCCTTCAAAGAATATACAGGAAGTCACAGAAATGTTTACATCCTGTTAGACCATCCTTAGCCTGTTGTTGTTGTATTCAGACGACCAGCCAGGCGTTTCTTGGGGTTTGCAGTTGGTGGAGAGCAGCTCTAAGGACCGCCTTGATCTTGTGAGGTTATCTTTGCCCATGTGGGCCCGAAGTCAGAGCAAGTAGGAATACAGAAATACGAAAGTGTTTGTAATCCTGCCTGAAAACGGATGAACCAAAACCAAACAGTGGTCAACTCAGTAGGTCACCCACCATCCATAGCTTTTAGTGGTCCAGTGGATTCTAGTTGTTTTCTACTTTTTAAGAAAAAGGGAAAACAACAGCCTCCTTTCTCAGTTTCTGTGGTCATGTAGCAGCAATTAAAGAATAAAATAAAATGCGTCTTTCTACTGCATAGACTTTTATGAGAAGACCATCTTTCCAGTGGTAAAATACCTCTTTAACCTTTCCACAATGAGTGTGACACTGACCACAGTTGTGATACTAACCATCGCAGTAATGAGTAAACCAACACTGAAGAATGTATACATGCAGCAAGTATAATAACAGGACAGAGGAAAACGCTGCTCACTAGCCTGGTTGCCTCCACATGGGGTTGATATAGCAACCAACAAAGCACAGCAGGTCACAGTTTATAGGAATGTGAAGCACAGTTGGGAAGAGTTTTTGACCAGTCAGATAATTGCTTCCCCAACAACACCAGATACCAACTGGAATCAGAGACGTTAGAACATGGATTTTTATGGATCTGACCTTCTTCTTTCATCTGATTATGTTGGGAAAAAAACTCCATATTGGGACAACGGCAGCTGGTTTCCTTAAACAATGACTTCTCCGAGATCCATGCTCTTGGCAGCTCAGTCCAGCGCGGAGGCACCTGGCAGCAGAAATGTAGAATAAACAGCCATATATTATTTCAGTCAGGAGGATACTAGACTTTAAATTGATTTTGTGCTTGAATGGAAACCAACTACAGTGACACAAGTGAGATCAACGATGAGATGTTAGGGACAGTGTCTCCATTAATCATCATTATCGAGCTAAAAATACACAAAGTTGACAAATTCTGACAAACATAAGGCCTCAATAACAGGTTTGTTTCCTTGGAAATGTTTAACGTTGCATTAAGCGGTTTTTGACCACCAGTTGGCAGACAGACTGAAACAAACCAGCAGCAACAGGACACTGAAACTGTCGGCTCACCAAGAGCTCGTAGCTAATGTGAGATAAGCATCAGTCCACAGACTTTGGGAAGTAGCATCGTTGTTTTTTCCTTTAATTTGCCGCACGTGCAGAAGCATTGCGTACATTTAGGTGAAGATACCAGTGATGGTGCACCTCGAGAGTTTCTGCGGAGGGACTGGGGAGAGTGGAGGGTCAACATGGCTAAATTTGGCATCTTGGATATAATCTCTGCTACGATTGGGCGATGTGTTAGTTCTGGCCAGAGCTGCTGTAAATCTCCTCTGTACTGTATTCCCTGTTAAACTGTTCAGGATAAACCCTTAAAGGACCAGTTGCAGTATATGAGAGTGAAGAGTTAAAGTTGCAGTTGTAGTGCAGTCGACAGTATATAATCTAATGATAAATAAACCTCCTATAATGACCACGGTATCTATTTGTTGAAGACACTCTTGGGCTGACTGAGATCAACAGACTCCTGAAATGTTCTGATTCCAAATAAAGGGTGTAAGTGATAAATTAAAAACTAGGAATAAATACAAACTAAGAAATCCTACATGAACTGTGATGGGGTCGTCCTACACTGCTGTGCTTTAATGTCAGTCATAGTTGTGTTACCTTGAGATGCAGATATTTACTGAGGTTGTACGTAATGTAAAAGGTTTGAGCTTTAGACAGTAAAGATCATTTAAATGGCTTCAACCGATCTAAGCTACACAACCTGCCGGAACGAAGTCTATGTATTTGTTGAAGTCGAGTCACAATCCTGGCAGTTGTTCCTCATCCATTTATATAACCTGATTATTGGCAACACATTTATTGTATTGCTCTGATTTCCTTTTGCTATAACATGACAGTTCCCTGTCTAAAGTGGGCTAGCAGTTGACTCTACTGTCAAATTAAAACAAAGCTGGAAGGAGCCAAATGTTGCACTAAATCTATGAATAACTTTATTATATAATCGAGTAAGGGTCAACCTAATGGACCGTAATAGAAACAGCACCTGTTTTCACTGTGTTGGTAGTGTGGCTGTATGTGAGAGCTCCCTGTACTGTGGGAGTGGAAACTGCAGCCGCTCTAACACCACAGCAGCTTATTAAAGCCGTGAATCAACCGCTGAACTGAACTGATGCACTCATTGATTTGCTCCCCTCATGGACTCATTTGGGTAAAATTAAAGATGCAGAGCAGAGTTTGTCCAATGAACCAAGTGTATAGTCTCATTAACTCGTCACACACATACAGTAAATCCTCCCACTCATTGCGTACATACATTTAAAGCACATTTTAACTCGTTTAACAAACATCACAGTGAGATTTCTTCATTTTTTACATTCAACAAAAAGTATAAAATGATTCGGGTTGTTTTTATTCCTCTTTTAAGTGAGTGAAAATAATAGTTTGAGTCATTAAGTTTAGAGTTGTGAATGATTTTTGTATTTAGAGAACAAACTGCTGATTTACTTCTTAAAATGAGTTGTATTTATTGGGAGGGTTTTATGGTTTTGAATCCCCCTCATAATTATTAAGGATTATAAAAAGAAGTGAAGTGCGGTCAGTATAAAGATGTTTGATCATTAAAAATCACTTAAAATATCATTATCATTATAAATGATGTTACTGCAGAGAGAGCTGCTGGACAGACTGTACTTCCTGAGTTTTAACACCTTCTGAAATTACATTATAATGGTTGTTGGTCATAAAAAAAGCAACTGAAAGGACATTATGAAAAATGTGTCACCATTATTATTAAGGCTGAATTTCACTCGTGTCACTGCTGTGTCTCCTCTATGTGTTGTAAACCAGCAATATGTTATTTTTTCATTGCAGGAGATTTTTTAAGTCTCAGATATCAGTATTAAGCCATGGGACTCACTGGTATTGATCACCAGTTGTATCAAGTTAGCGCCGATATATTATGGTAATCTTGTTCTGTGCTTATTGTCGCTTTAAAAATGCAACATTTCATTGATCCGGGAAGGAAAACCTGTCTTTATGTTTCCCTGTTTGTGCTCAGGTTAGAGTGCAGCAGCAGCCTGTTACGGTCGAGGATTCAGGGACACTTGAGATCTTTTTGGGTGAAGGAAGTTTGCACACTTGTGTCACTGTGCTGTTTTAATTTAAACACTGATTCTACAGTTTCATTGTAGTCTGCTTGTGCAAAATGGTGCTGCTGCCTTCCTCTCTTTGGTGTCTGGTATTGTTGTTTATCACAGTACGTTTTTTAGAGCATCTTATCGAAGTGTTAGACTGATGACAAGAAAAAGACAAAAGACATCACCACCTTCTTGTAGAGAGGACCGATCCGATATCAGATCCGAACTACATTAAATGTCAGTAGTTGTCAGAAACTGATTAAAAGGAAAAACACTGTTTGAATTATTGTGTCATCTCAAAATCATATTCTTATCTTGAATCATGATGTGACTAAGAAACGCATCATTATTATCTTTTCTTTAAGAATAGAGAAAGTAAATATTTCACAAATGTCTTTACTCTAATTATAGCTGCTAATATAGCAGCGGTTAAATATGACACAGCTGTTAAAGACAAAATATCTTCCATATTTGTGCACAGAGAGCTTTTTTATAACCTCATCCACAGGTATTAAATTCTACCAACCTACATCCTCCTGCAGGGACAGCTAGAGGACGTCTGTGTAACCGTGGGGCTCTGAAACCTATCAGATATATTAAGATAGATCTAAATCTATCACTCTATATATATAGATATATAAAAGTGAATTATGTATGGTCCACTGTGGCGTTTATAGCATTTCTTGCTGTAAACTAAACTCCTGTGTCTTTGTGTTTGAGCTGTAAATGTGGTTCAGCTCCAGTATCAGCGCTGTAACAAAGTAAATGTTGACTGTGTTGCCTCGCAGGGAGAGATGAGACGATGCAGCCGGCCAAGCCGTCCTTCCTGGAGTACTTTGAGCAGAAAGAGAAGGAGGCCAACAGTCACAATGACGGAGGAGGAAGAGGAGAGAACAATGCAGACAACCGCAAACTGCCTGCTGAAGGAGATCTTCAAGTGGTGAGTTAGAAACAGTGTGTGTGTGGTTTTTGTTACCGATTGGGGACCTTTTATGGTATTAACACGAGACCAGTTGTCCTCATGGGGACAAAAGACCTGTCCTAATGTCATTCTGAGGTTGGTTTAAGGTTGTTTGGTTGATGAAGACAATGAAATGTCCTGAACAAACCCTTTCAGAAATGACGGCCGATAAAAACACCATGATCAACTGACGAAGTGTAGATGTATCACAAACGCCGTCCTTTCATATCCTCTGTTATGAGAGAAGCAGAGAGAGAGAAGGGAGAGAGAGGGAGAGAGAGAGAGAGAGGGAGTG